CTGATTCTGCAGGCCTTTGTCAGGCAGTGCCCTGGTCTTCTATTAGTTTATTTTTCCTGCTTTTGCTGAGACAGCTCTGTTGAGCAGCTTCAGAGTGAGTGCTCAATGATTAATTTTTTAGTGAGCATTTAAGAATACTAGAAGAAAAATGCAATCTTGCAACTGTGCTTTCCTATTGAAAGCTGTTCTTGCGTTTAAGTGCTGAAAAACATTACATTTATCCTGGCAAATAGTCTGTTTTTGATTTTGGGAGTCTTGTTTTGGACTCATCGGTCCTTCTTGTGTGCTGTGAAAAACAAATAGCTGCAACATAGCATACAGTCAGCAAAATGGGGTGCTTGGGCAGAGCTGCCTGGGGCTTTTGCAGATGGGTGGTGTGGCAAAGTGGCTGTGAATTTCTCTGCAGTATCTGAAAGTATTGGTGCAGAACTTTCCTCTGCTGCAGAGGCCTTGCAGACGTCTGTGGCAGATCCCATACTAATGCTGGTTAGGGTGGATTTGGTAAGAGGTGGGTTGGTAGTTTGGTAAGAATTGAGAAGCCTTTCAGTTTGGGGCGCTGCAGATTTTGGATTATTCCATGTGTCGGGGTGTTGTAACATTCCTTTGTTTTCTCATTCTGTTGTCTGTTTCTGTAATCACAGCTCTAGATTTGGATTGCTTTTTGAGGCCGGGACCATGGGCTGCTGACACCACGCTTAGGCAGCATTTAAGCACTTGGTTAAATAAACGAAGGGCAGATTTATGCTGTCATTATCAGTTTCCTGTTCTCGTCCTTCATGCGAATGGGAGCTAATTGTGTTCATTTGGTGTTAATATAATACAGTCAGGCTCACTTAAAGGAGTAGCACTTCTAGACAAATCATGTAACACAAGGTTAGGAATCAAATGCTTGCTAATGAGGGCCATTTAAGGCTTCGGGGGTGTTGTGTTTTTAGGAGGCTGCAAGGCAGTTTCAAAGGAATAAAATAACTGCCCTGGCAAGGCACCAGATAAGGGTAAACATGGTACCTTCAGAGGGCTGGGGGGAGGACTAGCTGGTCTTTAAAGGTCCTTTCCAACCTGAATGTAACGATTTTCTGGTATCTGTGTTTGCAAGACACACAGGAAGATTTCTACCAGAGTCCACAGGATATCTAAATTTCAAAGAACCAGAAAGCACACAGATAACATGGCTCTGCAATAAATGGTCCATTAAGTCATCAGATCCAGTAGTGAGCCCTTTGCAAGTGAAGATAGCAAGCTTATCTTCTTCTTTTGCCACATGTAACTTCAAAATATTTGTTTGAACTCTGCAAAGTTTTGACTTTTCCATATCTCTGCTGCTTACTTTCTCCTGTAAGATTAGATTTTAAAGGCTGCATTTTTCTGAGGCTGTGGGAAGACTCTCCTGAGATAAATCTTGTGTTATAAGTGCTTGTTAATCAAGTTGCTGAGCCGTGGAGAAGCATGGTTGGGAGCAGATAGAATTACTATCTTTGTTCCCTTTAGTTCAGAGAGAATGAGAAAAAATGGGGCGTGTGATAAAGTATGTGCTATTCTGCATAATATGTCTTTTTCATTGATCCAACCTAAGGTGTTTTTGAGGAGAGTTTAATAGGATTCTGAAAGTAATCTGACTTTTCTGAGGGTAGAAATATCCAAACTGTACTAAGAGGGGGCAAGTTCATTAAGAATGTATGTCTTAACCTCACTGCAGAAGCCAGTCACTGGTTCCTTGAATTTACAGAGAACTGATGTAATAACTGATTCTGCAATTTCTTCCATCGTGTTTCCTTTCCTTAAAACTTCTGATCCTGTGACAGTATTCGAGATTAATCTCTCCATTTATCCTTTGAATACACAGGCACGGACTGATGCTAAATTATTATACGAATGCAGCAGTCCATTGCAGATCTGAGATGTGTGTGCCTCCTGTGACTTTCAGATCTGTCCTCTACCACATTTTAGTAGCACTGGAGGATGTTGCAGTGACCTATAGAAGAAAGAGGCGCCCAGTTGCAGGATTCAGGAGTTGTGGACTTCAAACACAGCTTTGATTCTTCTGTCTTTCTTGTGAGAGCAGATTGAATGCCAGGATGCCTTGGAAGCAGCTGCTCGCGCAGAGGGGCTTCCACTGGATACCTCCGTGCATTCCCAGCTGAGAATGCTGGACGAAGAGCATCACAAGGGCAAATACCACCATGGCCTGAATGCGCTGAAACCCATACGGACCACTTCCAAGTAAGTCCTTAGGCTGCAGGAGAGCTGATGCAGCATTTGCTTCTCAGACCTTGTACAAAGTGGCATTGCAGCTGTGGGTCTGGTACTGAGAAGGTTACATTGCGTTCAGCCAGTGTGACCTGCACGGGCCGTTTGGAACTCTGAGTGCTTTGAATAGGAGGCTCTGTTTTTCTCAGGGCTTTACAATTCTTTTTCCTTTTTGTAATCATAGAATCCTTGGAGTTGGAAGGGACGTTTAAAGGTCGTCTAGTCCAGCTCCTCTGCAGGGAACAGGGCTATCCATGACTGGATCAGGTTGCCCAGAGCCTTTTCATTTGTTTCTGATTTTTTTCTTTTAGACACCAGCACCCTGTTGATAATGCTGGGCTTTTCTCCTGCATGACCTTCTCCTGGCTCACTCCTTTGGCTCGCAGAGCATACAAGAAAGGGGAGTTGTTCATGGATGATGTATGGTCTTTGTCAAGGCACGAGTCTTCAGATGTCAACTGTAGAAGGTAGAAATATCTTCTCTGTGTTGTTTTTTTTGTTTGTTTGTTTCATTTTTTGTAAGTTTACAGGCATTGAAAAAAAATGTGCTGGCAAAAAAAAGAAAGCATTGATGCATTGCTTTTTGTCCCTCTCTTTAGTACTGTTTGTACTAACTATAGGTATCTCAAGATGCAGAGATTTCCCCGTACCTCACAGAATATACCCTGCATTTATTTAACTTGAAATTATTACTGAATTATTGTTGCTGTGAACTGGAAAGCATTTGGAGTTTTCACAAAGAAGTACCTGTGAGCTTGAACCTGCCTTCATGGCAAAAGGTTGGTAGCATAAGACACCTGTTTCTATTAGGCTGGAGAGGTTGTGGCAGGAAGAGCTGAAAGAAAGCGGGCCCGACGATGCTTCTCTGCGGAGGGTTGTGTGGATTTTCTGCCGCACCAGGCTCATCATCTCCATCGTGTGTCTGATGATCACGCAGCTCGCGGGTTTCAGTGGACCAGTAAGTAATATCCATCCTTTCTTTAACCACCCCGGAGGGCTCCATCTCATGGCCAAGTGCAAAATACGAAGGTTTCATTGCGGAGTCATTTAAATGTTTGACTAGCTAGAAATTTCGGGGTGAAATTCCGGAGTGTTACGATAATCCGAGATAGGTTTCCTACAGCTGTGGATCAGTTGCTGAATACCGAGGCCAAGTTCTTGGAAAAGGGAGGGGACGTTTAGATACCTTGGAGGAAATGCACACCTCTTTGTTCTCTTTTTGTTTTTCAGTGTAGTTTAAAGTTATTCCTTAACTGACACGTGATCTCTTTGCATAAAATTCTTATGTGCAGGTCTTTTGTGTTGTGTTGCTTTTTCCTTTTGTTTTGAAATTCTGTAAATTTATCTTGCAATGAAACACTGATTTTAGATTATTGGCATTGATAGCACAGTCTTCGAGAAGTGGAACCAAGCAATTTTATTAGAGCACTACTTATAATTAAGCAGATATGGTCAGACAGGTTTCGTGTAGAGTTTATGTTAGAGTATGTTATTGCCTCTAGGAGCTGCTGCAGTTTGTTGTTATGGGTCGTAATGAAGATAACAACATATGGGAGTTGGCATTCACAACATCTTTGTCACCTGTTTGTTGCACGTGCTGTGCAGATTTGCAGTTGAAATCTTGACTAAATTTATTCTCTACACATTTCCCTTGAGGAGTAGGAGCAGTATTACTGCTAGTAGTACACGTTTCAGTGTGCTGGTAAGCTGAAGGTTCATTTCTGGGGTAAGTACACCTGGGTGCACTGTTAGGTGGAATGTCTTTTTTAAAATGTTTTCCAGCTTTTAATGTCTTATCAAAATGTTCTTCTGCTTTTTATCCCTTTTTAAAGTTTGCCTTCTCTTATGTAAAATGAATGACAAATGTTTCTGTGGTCCTGTTTTCATGGTAATAATTTGTCTCACGTTAGTTATAAAATGTACAAACATACTGTGGTAATTAACAATATATCATGATTAAGATTTTCACAGCACTAGCTTTCCCCAAGAAGAGCTTCTGTCACTGTTTCACTGCAGGGCTTTTGCAGCTGCTGTTATGTTTAGTAACAAACTTGCAGCAGGGTGTTCCCTAATTTCTGTAGTGTCATCTCAATTTCTCTCAGCCAAACTGTGGAATGAAAGTGGGAAGGGAAAGGAAAAAACAAACCAACTTGACAAGGCTGGGAGCTGCGACTGCAATTGATGTTCAATTTGGATAATTTAAAATCATCTGGGGACATTGCCTGTTTGCAGACAACCTTATTCATTTCTCTGGATAAGGAGCAATATCCTCTTACTTCTAACATTTGGCATGAAAAATGAGTCTTTACCATCCCTCCTCCCTGTTTTTTTTAGTGGCATGCCTCATGGATATGCCTGTGCTGTCTCCTCTGGTGCATTAGTGCTTTCTGGTGTTGTTATGCCCTTTCAGTCACCTGAAGGTGAAAAGGGAGATCAGGAAAAGCACTTGACTTCATATATTGGTGAAAACTGGCAAAATGGAGTTAAACAACTATATTAAACTTCAAAAACTTGGGGTGCCTGTGACCTTGAAATGCCAGCCAACAGCTGTGGCTTCGCTAATGAACATTGTGATGGTTATAACCAGAAAGGCCTCTGTCTTCTTCTTCAGTTGATACCAGATCCTTCAAGGGTCTTGCTTGTGTTTTATTTCGTTCATCCGACACAGCACCTAAGCCTGTAAAATGCTCAGATAGCTGCACGTGTCAGACTGCCTCGTCATAACCGTCGCAATGTTTGAGTACGGGTGAGACATTCGCTGCCACTTAATCAGCTGCCAGCACTTCACGTTGAGGTGAAGGAGCAGAGAAGTTTTGTCTATGACCGAACGTAGTTTAACTCCGCGTCTGAACGTTGTACCCATTTGCAACTGTTCAGAGCTATTCTTCCTGTGTGGGAGATGGGGAAACTTGCCATCTTAGTGGAGTACAGCTTGACAGTTTGGTCAGTTATTGGAGGGGGGAGTGGTAAGCTGGTGGAGGTAAGTTTCCCGTTTCCCAGTTGGCTCCAGCTGCAGCCCGCCCCGCTGCCCGCCGGCTGCGGTGGGATGCCCGCGCTGCAGTGGGACCAGTGACAGAAGCTGTTCTTTAGAATTTTCAGGATGGCTGTTTTCTGCGTCAGGATGAGGCAGTCCTGCTGGGCAGAGCCAACGCCAAGAGCGAAGGTAAGGTAATGTTTATTCAATGAGAATGCTTAGACAGCTGGGCAGCTCGTAGCATCTGCTGCAGTAATAGTCGCAGGAATTCCTTGTTTCCATTCGATCGTTTTACGTTTGTACTGCAGCTTTCTTGTTTTGTAAATAACTTTGTGCTGGATTCTTTTCATTAAATTAGCTTGAATTCAAGTAGTATGTGCTTATATGTAAATGTGAATTCCGTGTGACTTCTTCCCTTTTCAAAATTCTTTAATCTGCTCTTTCCTCTTTCTTTCTTCTGGAAAAAAAAAAAAAAAAAAAAAAAAAGGGGTTTAATGTCTGGTCTCTATTTCATCATGGGAGATGCTGATTCTATAAAACAGTGCTGAAAAAAAATGCACTAAAAAGTTTTGGGAGGAATGAGACCCCAGGAAACATCTGCTATCTTTATACATCCTCTCTTGGAGACCTTCAGCAATGCTGTGGTGTGCGAGAAAAGGCTTGCAGTCTGCGACCATGCTGAGTTACAGCTCGTGAGGAAAAGGGGGATTTTCACCCCAGTGCTCAGTGACTCGGTTGCATATGTTGGATTGAATACTGGAAAAAAAGAAGTCAGTAATCTTCTTAGTAACTGCAAACCAACTGTATGCAGTTGTCGTCCAAACAGTGGATGTAAAACTAAATCCGAGTAAGGAGAAAGTTGGAGTGCAATAGGTCTGTGAATGTGAGCTCCTCACATTTGTGCAGGGATCGATATGTAAATTTTCTCAGTTGCCATTCTAGAAACCAATGGACATCTGGCTTTAATTCACACCTGTGAAAACGAAAGAGCAAAATTATTTCCAGCATGTTTCCTTGGTTCTGACACGCAGAATTATTTTCCTCAGAACAGATGAGTTTGATCTCCATTTTTTTCCTGTTATTTGGTGCTGGGCTATAGCTTTCAATACCTTTGCTGAAATAGTGGGGTTTTGTTTTTTCCATCTCTCTTCAAACTATAAAACTATGCAGAACTCTTATTTACAAAACGTGATTTAGTCAAGAGGACTTCAAAGGACTGTGATGAAAAAGGCTTCTCACATATTTTCTTTGGTCTAAAATTTTTTTGGGTTGCTTTCCATTGTGGGCAAAGGTAATTCTGCTCTGTAGTAGCATATCAAAAGCACCACTATCTTAAAGCATCTTGTTGAAAAGCTGTCTAGGAGAGCTCATTTTGTTACCCACGAAGCCTTACAGTAGCATACATTTTAAAGCAGATTTCAGAATTTGTGCAGCCTCGGAAGCCTCTCCTGTTGGCACCTGCAAATTTGACTTCCTTTGGACTTCATGAAAACACGCTGTGCTGTTCTTGTATTTTATAATTGTGTATAGTTCCAATTATAGTTTATGTTAGAGGCTAAAACTGTTAAACATTAACCCTTCATAATTATCTTGTATGTGCAGATTGTATATTTATACAATTCTCTACCTGTTGTACCGTGTTTGTGAGATGTTACCGTTTAAGATGATGCTTTATTTCAAATAAAAACCTCTTGTTTCTCAGTCAATAGTATTTAATATTGCTGATGACTGTGAGTTGTATGATGTTACATTGTGCCGTTGGACCACAGAGAGCTCGAGGTGGGAATTGGTGGTTCTGGGGGCTGCGTTCTTTCTGCAGGTCATGTTTGCAATGTGATTCCTGAGGTAAAGTGTTCATGTTTTGGGGGGGAAAGGGTACGGGGGAGGGATTGAGTGGTTAATTTGTTTTCTTTTCCTTTTTTATTTTCCCTGCCCCAATGATTTGTGGCGTTGCGTACCTTGTGCTTTCTGCTTGTTTTTTTCTTTACGATTAAACTGCTGATGTTTATTTCCAGGAATGTTTTGCAAATGTCCTTCTCACTCTTCCCCTCCACAACTGTAGGTACATTGTTCCTTTTTATCAAATAAGCACGTTTGAAGCAGACCAAAGATAAAGTAAAAAGGTCTTAATGTCACGTAAAGGAATGTTTTTATTAATGTGCTCAGATGTATAAGTAGTGACTATATTTTAAAACTCTTCTATATGACGTTGCATTGCTTTCAGCTAACTGACAGATTTATGTTAAGTTAGAAGACACGGGATTAGAAGCGTGCTGCAAGGAATGCGGTGCCAATTGAACTCTCTTAATAAATTTGGCTCAGCACTCGGCTCTCAGCAGGGCTGTGTTACAGTGCTCCTTGTTTGTCATCTTTTAGTTCTCGAAAGAAGACGCTTTCTATTTCAGATGGCTCTTGTGAAAGCAAAGTAGCCTACTTATTTCTAACTTAACATAAAGTTGTTGCCTGGTGGTCCTCTGGGATGATGGGGTGTTCACGCAAGCTTGCATTTCTTCCTGTAGGCGTTCGTTGTGAAACATCTTTTGGAGTACACCCAACAGAGTGAGTCCAACCTGCAGTACAGCTTGTTTTTAGTTTTTGGCATCTTTATGACGGAAGTAGTGCGGTCTTGGTCCCTCGCGCTAACGTGGGCCTTGAACTACCGCACGGGGGTGAGACTGCGAGGGGCTGTCCTGACGATGGCGTTTAAGAAGATCCTCAAGCTGAAGAACATCAAGGAGAAGTCTCTTGGCGAGGTGAGCAGCCGTTTGAGACACAGCTGGGGGAAAAGGCAGTGCAGTGTATTGCTTCGGGAATGGACTGCGCCTGAAACCCGCATCGTCTGTCACGTGTGTTTTTCAGCTCATTAATGTGTGCTCCAATGACGGCCAAAGGATGTTTGAAGCTGCAGCAGTTGGCAGTTTGTTGGCTGGGGGCCCTATCGTGGCCATTCTAGGAATGGTTTACAATGTAATTATTCTGGGCCCGACGGGCTTCTTGGGCTCTGCCGTCTTCATCCTTTTCTACCCAGCAATGGTAAGTTGAAAAGTTAAGACCCGCTTCATTCAGGCCGGACACGTGCGTGGTTCTGAACAGGAAGTGTTGAAATGTGTCAAGTTAAGGCTGTTTTTGGCACTGCGTGTTATTGAAGGTGTTCCTAAAGATGATGTGAGAAACAGAAATTTGGAAACAGAAAACTCAAAATGACAGAAAAAAAAAAAAAAAAAAAAGACACCACGAAAATAGGAAAGCTAATAGATGGGATTTCCAGGTAAATATTTGTAGCTGAACTAAACTGCAGTGTTCAGGCAGAGGTTGGACATCTTGTGTATGGGAACTGAACTTTATGTGCTTCAGCCTAGAGCGTATTGCTGTTGAGTTCAGTGAAAGGTGTTGAGAAGTGCTGCACCTGGAGGAGTGTACACTTGCTTGTTCCTGCTTCCAGTTCTGCTCAGCTGTCAAATAACCTCTTTCTGAGTTTTACTAATACTGTACCATGTTACTTTTTGTTTCAGATGTTTGTATCACGCCTCACTGCTTATTTCAGAAGAAAATGTGTATCAACAACAGATGAACGTGTACAGAAGATGAACGAAGTTCTTAATTACATAAAGTTCATTAAAATGTATGCCTGGGTCAAACCGTTTTCTCAGAATGTTCAAAGTGAGTTCACACAACTTATAAACGTGTCCTGTTGTGCTGATGTCCCATTGCTGAGTACCTCGGTGTATCACCCTAGCATAGAGCCATAGATGGTGATATACACTTGCATGTTGTGTATGTGCTCCTCTGAAAAATACTCCAAACTCAGCTCCCCTATTTATATTTCTAGAAATTCGTGAGGAAGAGCGTAAAATCTTGGAGCGTGCGGGCTACTTCCAGAGCATCACTGTGGGAGTGGCTCCCATAGTTGTAGTCATTGCCAGCGTGGTGACCTTTTCTGTCCATATGATACTTGGCTATGATCTTACAGCAGCTCAGGTAAGTGGTTAGTTAATTGCAGTGTTGAATTCCTTATTGTACTGCTACCATAACTTTTCTGTTAAGCCGTTTCTCTTCAGCCAGTTCTCTGCTGTGTGCCAGTGTGGCTGACAGAAGTGAACATCCAATGGATGCAGCAGCAGCAGATGTAGTCTTGTATTTTGCACAGAAAATGTTCCATGCTGTTTCAGCCCTGACCTTCCTCGGGCTGGTGTTAAGATGGGTGTGAATCAACTCTCCACTATCTGGATACAACCTTGAGATGACTGGGTGTTTCCATTTCACAGTGTGCTTGTATGCAACCAGCACAGATCTGCTCCCTGGTGACTTAAGACAGAATTTGAACATTGCTCTTCACAAGTAACGACGCAGACTTTGCCATCTGCTTTGTTCTGTGGACCTACAAATGTTGATGTCTTGATTTGTTACAAAGCTCTGTTCCCTACCATTCCAGAGCATGTTCAATCTTTAAAGGGTTATTCATGGTCTGCAGGTCGTTCCTATGGCTTTAACTTTCTGCTATGGCAGTGCAACCTTTAGAGGGTTGCAATTGTTTGTTGAGTGCATTACATCCAAATGTGATTCTTTCTTGTTTTGTTTCCAGGCATTCACAGTGGTCACTGTCTTTAATTCGATGACTTTTGCTCTAAAAGTAACACCTTTCTCAGTGAAGTCTCTATCTGAGGCATCTGTTTCTGTTGACAGATTTAAGGTAAGCAGACCTTTAGCTTTGCAGTTTTAACTGGCAGTGTGGAGTGTTGTATGTGTACAATAGATGCTAAGAGAACGCTTTGAAGGCAATGCTGTTTTGCTATATGAGGAGTTTTTTTCTGTATACTTAGCATTCCAGGTTATTATTATTCTGCAGAAGGGATAGAAACCCAGTCAGGAGGTATTAGAGCCTAAAGGCAGTACTGTTGTGGGAAGCAAAATAGACTTATTTAATGATTTCAGGATTTTGATGTTGATCACCATTAAAGATGGAATATGGAGATAGATGGTTCACAGGATAATAATTCTTGCAGCCTCTTTTAAGGCCATCTACGTGAAAAGGCAGTGCAACTTGTCTGTAGTGAAACTGTTTTTGGAAGAGTCACGTGGTACATCAGCACACTTTGCACAAGTGATTAGAGTTTTATTTGTAGTCATGAAAAACAGATTTTGTATTTCCAGAGCAAATTGTGACTGAAAAAACAGTTCCATTATAGGAATAAATGTAGTTGTGACCTGACTAAAACAAATCTATGGCATAAAATTAAACCCAGATAACAGAAACAATCTGATCTCATCCTTCAACCCCAGTGAATACACCATGTAGTTCAGTATGAGCTCAGAGGACAAGCCTTTATTGTGCCTTCTTGCAGACACAGTAATATTGCACATTGCAGAAATTGCCATACAGGCTTCCAAAAATATTAAAAGATGATATATAGATTCTGTGTAATGCATTCATGGAACAAATTTAGTTGTGAAAATTATAGTCATGAAAGAGTGGAATCCACAGAATGGCTGAGAGATCCCATTACTTCTGAGCATTTGTTGTTTAATCTTCTAATTGATTTATCCCAAATCAAGTTTTCCTAAGTAGAGTTGTACTGAAGGGAATTTTGGGGGAAGAGGAGAAGAGAGGAAGCTTAACTTGTGTAAGGAGTGTAACACAAGGTAGGGGTACTCTCATAGCACGTTGAAATGTAAGTGATGTAGTGGCTCTGTAAGTGGTATGGGCTTTCTAATAACGTGTGATTTGGGCAGAGCAACCTCAAAAGTAAAGAAGTGTGGCAGTTGAGAAATCTGATCACTAGGGCTTCTTAGTTCAGAACGGAAGTCATATGAGACAAAATGATTTTCATTTTTAACTAAACTGTAAAAAAATCTTTGTCATCTGTGTTGATTGTAAGTACTGATGGATGTGGTGGAAGGCATGATGCAATGGACTTAATGACTTACTGTCAAGCAGCCCAGCATAGATCAGCTGAATTTGTGAGTGATGACATTCTCCCAGCAGAAGAGATGAAGGATAAAGGCTGAAGAGAAAAGTAATTCCATCTCCTTTTGTCATGACCTGGTGTTCAGGACAAGTCAGTCATTTTCTGTCACGGTCCTCTCCTCTTCAACCTATGCGTTCTGTTTTGTATCTGGAAGTTACAAAGCTGCAGTAGTGAGCAGTCTGAATAGAATTAGACTGTCTCATAAGGCGCCCAGATCATTGTGATTCTCTGCAAGTCTCAGTGTATCTGAGCCCTTCCACCACATCCAGGAATGCCCCAGCCCCTTAGCACGCCTGGAGTTAGTTTACACTAATGAGCTACCTTTTGCTCTTCAGCTTTCTCCCACTATATAGCCTGATGTGTTTTGCTGCGTGAGTGTGCCGTAGGCTTGTCTCCCAGTCTTGATCAGGTGTCTCATCTTTACACCTCTCTCACAACTCCTATCAGAGTTTATTTCTAATGGAAGAGGTTCATATGATAAAGAAAAAACCAGCCAATCCTCACACCGCGATAGAGGTGAAAAATGCTACCTTGGCTTGGGACTTCTCCCACGCCAGCGTCCAGAGCTCACCAAAGTTGACTCCCAAAGTGAAAAAAGACAAGAAAGTAACCAAGGGCAAGAAAGAGAAAATGAAGCTGCAGAATGAGGGACAGCAAGCTGTGCTGGCAGAACAGAAGGGCCATCTTCTAGTGGACAGTGATGACCATCCTAGCCCCGAGGAGGAGAACAGAATCATCCACCTGGTTAACCTTCGGCTTCAGAGGACTCTGTACAACATTGACTTGGAGATAGAAAAGGTAAGAGAAGAAAGGAGAAAATGTGAGCTCTCAGAAGGCCTCATATTTAGCTGTCCTTTGGAATAAAGAATGTGAAATGAGGCATATTGCTTTTGTGCACTGCTTTCAAATCCATGGCAGCTGTAGTATCTAGGATGCAGCGTCTGATCTAGGTATAAACAGCTGTACATTTTAGCAAACTGGATCTTTGCAAACAGCCTATGGGATGCTGCAGGATATACAATCTTCATATCGTGGTTTTGCTACCTGTAGCTTTCAGTATCTGAGCTATTGAGCTTAAAGAATCAGCAGAGAAATGTAGGTGAGCTATTGGTGGATGGTTAATGCCAGCAACCATCTGACAATTTCATAGCATCTCAGCTATATTCTGACTAAACGTTTTAGTTGATTAAGTGTTCTAATGGAATATAAAGGTGGATTTTAATTGAAGAATGCACAACCAATTCACTGAGAATTTTAATGCAGTAGAAGGACAAAGAAAGATTTTCAAGAAACAATGGGAGTCCTCATTCCAAGACAGGTAAAAGCACGTATAAACTCAAAGAAAATCTTCCAAGTAATAGATGGTATCTTTTACAAATATAAAAGCAGCTGTGTACCCTTTTTGCCCACTTTAACATTTTTTTAATGGAAGGAAGAAGAACAGTTTTTCTGAATGTATTCCTTGTTAGATGTGGATAGCAGCCCACCCGTTTTATTGCGGATAACTGCTTCAGAGCGACTGGATTCCAGCTTTTTCTTGGTCTGTGATTTTTAGCAAATTGTATCTTACAGTCTGAGATTTCTAATGGATGTTCAGTCCTCCCCTCTTTGTTTTTTCTTATCACGCTGACCAGGTGTTGTAAATCAGTTGTGTGAAACCTTTCATTTATCTGTGGATTTTTGTCTTTTCACAGCACTCATGTCCTTTTTGTTTGCTGGCTAAGATACAGATTCTTTTTTTCTTAATCTGGTCTGTCACCCACTGAAGACAACGAAAGGACTTTGGAAACCAGGCTCTCAGGAGCATCTTGGTGTATTCTGTTCAGGCAGACCTTGGAACTTTGGCTGAGTGCAGTATTCTGTGGGCTTGGGCTTCTGTCAGGCGCAGTCAGAAGGAAACTGATCTTAAGATACATTCCTTTTCACCTGTGGAGTCTCTCTGGTTTTAGTCCACAGTGGAAAAGTATTCAGTGTTTATTTTTGGAGAATTAGAACATTGTCTCAGTTGCATTTCTATTTTGTCCTTTTTCAGTTGTCATTACTGTCTGGTTTTAATCTCTGAGATAAAAGGGTAGTCCTGACAGGGATGGAGAATGTAAATAATGAATGTAATGACTACCATACGTATGTTGTTTTTCTGTCTAGGGAAGACTTGTTGGAATCTGTGGCAGTGTGGGGAGTGGAAAAACTTCACTTATTTCAGCAATTTTAGGGCAGGTGAGATGTTCTCTTTTGACTTCTGCTCTTCTTTCTTATCTCCCATTTTGCTTATTTACCCTGTGTAGGAGACTGTCTATAGATATGGCCTGGCATAATTTCATGGTTTTGAATTCCAGATGACCCTTTTGGAGGGTAGCATTGCAGTAAGTGGAACATTTGCATATGTGGCCCAGCAGGCCTGGATTCTCAATGCCACGCTTCGGGACAACATCCTGTTTGGCAAAGACTACGATGAAGAAAGGTTTGTCAGAAATGTTTGCTCATTTTCACAGAAGCTTAGGAATTCTTGTCCCAAGTGAAGGAAAACTTAATGCAGAGTGTGCAGCAGTTAAAACCTACCCCTGCTTTTGAAGATCTGTCTGTCAGACTCCCTTAAGATTCATTTAAGAGTCTGAATCTCTTGTGTGTGGTCGCTGTGGCTGATGGCTGTCACTGCTCCTCTGCAGTGAGGGCTGCACCTCATGCTTAAGTGCCATCCGACCTCTGCTTGTAGCAGCTGCTGTGGAGCAGCACTGAAATTACATTTGCTCTTGCTGTCCTGGCCCTGCCCTCTGAGTACAATAACTCCCTTTGCTATGTTTGGGCACATTATGTGACCTTCTTCTAGTGGAGGCCACCCCTGGGACCTGTGCTAGCAATCCTTGAAAATAAATTGCCTCGTTACCTTTCCAGGACATGAGAAGTTGATAATAAATTATTATCCAAACTTTTCTCTTGGGAATCGAAGGCAGATCATTTGCTTAAGACTGATGGAATGTCTGCTACTAGTGTAGGAAGTGAAATAATGCTGTGCTAGTTAGATACTTTGGGAAAGAAAAGTGTTCTTATTACTTATCTAATCCATGTTCTTTAGATATAATACTGTGTTGAATGGTTGCTGTCTAAGACCTGACCTAGCCATCCTTCCAAATGGGGACCTGACAGAGGTATAAACTTTGCTTATAATAAACTACTTAGTAGTTGCAAAAAAAAAAAGTAGAATTTTAATTTGCTGAACTGGAGTGAGGGGGAACACCATAATAATGCTGTGCAAATAAGCCGAGCTGCTGGATGCACCTTGAGCACCAAAGCTATTGAGGGTAGTGCCATGTTTTTGGCTTAGAGGTTACCATTATGGGAGTTTTTCACTGTGTATTTTGCTGCCTAAACAGGAGCTATTTGAACTTGATTTAAAATGGCTAAGCAAAAAAGTGCTGCAACACTTGAAGCATGTTAACCTTGAGTTAGACTGCATAATGTATTTCAGAAAGGTGTAGACATAGAATGTATGTGTAATACTGTGGTGTACAGCTGTGTGTGATTTATGTAGAGGCAAAATACTGCGGTCTGCTTCATTCCAGTCATCTCTTGAGTTCTGAATATCTGCATCACAGTGCCATAGAAGTAAAGTAACAAGCTTGTGTCTGCACAGATCGGGGAGCGAGGGGCGAATCTGAGCGGAGGACAGCGTCAGAGAATCAGTCTGGCCCGAGCCCTGTACAGTGACAGGGACATCTACATCCTTGATGATCCCCTTAGTGCCTTAGATGCTCATGTTGGAAATCACATTTTTAACAGTGCAATAAGGAAGCACTTGAAGTCAAAGACTGTCCTTTTCATCACTCATCAGCTTCAGGTACTAACTACATCTCTCATTCTTGCTTTCTTGGACTCCCCTGTAATGCTGTCTAGTCAGTTACCTTTGGACTGCAGACTGCTGTGCCCCAACTTGTTATAGCAAAGCTCTGTCTCTATACAATGTGTAGTTGAGCTTTATAAACTAGCTTTCTGCGTGTGTGCAGAGCGTGATCTAATTCTTTATTAGGCACAGGGATAAAGACTTGTTCTTGCTGTTGTTCTCTGCAGTATCTTGTTGACTGTGATGAAGTGATCTTCATGAAAGAAGGTTGCATCACTGAACGAGGAAGTCACGAGGAATTAATGAATTTAAGTGGGGACTATGCAACCATTTTTAATAACCTACAACTGGGAGAAACACCACATATTGAGGTACTTGTTTTTCCATTCTAAAGCATTCTGATTTTTCCAATGAAATGGAAAAGTGAAAAATAGCTTCACGTGTTGGTCTGACCAGTATGCTTGTGGTGGAATCATCTGTGCTTTATCACATTGTATTTGCAATCACAGTTCTTAGTTGGAGAAATGCATAATAGAAGGGACTCTACCAGTGAGCCCATGTATTGAAGATGTAAGAAATTGTTTTCTCTGGTGGTGCTCTTGTCTCCATTCAGTAGGATATACGTTTAAATTTTCAGTTACTTGATTTTTCCCACTTTTGTCCTGTTTGTTTCTGGAAGTTATTCTTTGGAGTAAGAAACACAAGGTATCAGCAGCCTATTTTTTCAATTGATGAAAGAATCCTTACTCACCAGTTACAGGATTAAAAAAAAAAAGGAATTACTGACTCAATCTTTGAGGCCCCTTCCAACCCCTGCAGTTCTGTGAGAAGTTAGCATTGTGGTAAGTGAACAGATAGAAGGTGCTCGGTGGAATGTTAGTGAAAGAAGCAAAGGAATGTCACACACTACTCTGCATATCCATTGTGAGACTTGAAGATTATAGGACTGCTGTTTCAAGATGAATGTAATGACAGTTAACATGAGATTCTCCAGCCTGCATGCTTGGCTGACCTTCAATGTCTCTCTATAAACACTAGCTCACAGAGAGAGCACTGATTTGCATTCCTTGCAGGATAAGAGGAAAGGGATTGTGGAGTTGGATTCTCTGTGGTTTGATGTGTGCCAGGTGTCTCTTATCACTTATGGTGCAGGGAGGTGGCTGATGTTCCTGAAGATGTGTAGGGGGTTTCAGTTAAACTGAGCTGCCTCTGACCAGACAGTCATTTCCATTTAGTGGGAATGCGGCCAGGTTTAGAACAGCAGTTGTGTGAGCAGTTTAGTGTTTGGCCATCTGATTTCTGGAAGCCTGACTTAGTCCTTAGAGATGTTTCATGAAGAGCTCTCCTGGGAGAAAGGCTAGAGGGAGCATCTGGGGAAAACAGAGCCTCTTAATAACATTGAGTTATTATTCTAAGGGACGTGGGAGATTGTATCTCTCTGCAGTAGAAGTATAGTTCTACTAAGTATGCATATATTTCCAAAATGGCTTAACACTAAACCTTGCACACCACCAGTGCAGATTTGTAGCAGTTCAGGTCAATAGAGAAGGAGAATTGAATCCATCAGAGTTGGCAATCATCCATAATAACAGCGAAATTTATATCTCCCCTGAAATCAGTGCTATGCTTTTGAAAGCCTTTATGTTTAGGAGGCAGCTTATTAAGAAGAACTTTTGGTTCAGCTGTGAAAATGTAAAGGAAAAATATTCCTGTATGTTTTGTGTCACTGTTGTCCCACAGATTAACATAAAGAAGAACACAAACAGTTCACTGAAAAGACCCCAGGATAAAGGCACCAAAGCGGGCTCTGTGAAGAAGGAGAAGGTTGTGAAGAAGGAAGAGGGTAACTGCGTAGTTGAGTTTTGTACTGCAGTTATTCATACACTGATAAGCTCAAAATGTTTGCTTTCAAACTTCATTATGAATGCACCTCTTAGGTTTGGGAAGCTCTCTCAAGTCCTGGCGGTTCATTGCTGTCCGTGGGACTCAGGCAGCGGGCAGAGAGCATTCAGGAATTCATTCAGTGTTGGTGCCAGCACAGTGATGAGAAGTTTGGTCAGTCTGCCACGGATCAGATGCCACTGGTGCCAAGGAGTTCACAGTACTCTGTCTGCAGCACCACCTCTTCTCTTATCTGAAGAAGGCAGTGTGTGTGGCTTGGCACTTGCACATTCCTAGGCAGGACTTGATGTTTATGTATGAGGAATCTGAAGGTCTGACCTTTGTTGTGGGGTTATCTGTTTAATGTTAACTTTGACCTTAAGCAGGATTTTAAAAGCCTTGGTGAGACTCGTAGTATTTAAGTCTGTGCTGATTAAACTTTTTCAGACTTGAATGATTCTGCAGAAGAGTTGTGACTTTTTGAAAAACAACCATTATTTTCCACATATTAAATAATGAGCGTTTCTGAAAGCATTCTGTACAGAGTGGAAGCCACTTTTTGTTTTGTGTATGTTCACAAACTCACAAAAGAGCAACTTTCCTCACTCCTCCCTCCTCTTGTTTCACAGGCCAACTGGTTCAGTTGGAAGAGAAAGGCAAAGGCTCTGTCCCCTGGTCTGTTTATGGCATCTACATTCAGGCAGCCGGAGGCCCCTTTGCATTCCTTGTGATAATGGCACTGTTTGTGCTGAATGTGGGCAGCACGGCTTTCAGCAACTGGTGGCTGAGTTTCTGGATCAAGCAAGGCAGCGGAGTAAGATAAACAGCATTTCTGTTCTCTTTTGCTTAATGAGCAGGGGAGTTGCTCTCAGACTAATCCCAAGCAGTCCCAGGAGACCAAACGGGGCTTCCTAACTGGAGTTGTAAGGCTTCCCAAGAGGTGATCTTGCTAGAGAGTTCCATCTCAAGAATGAGAACTCCAGTAATGAAAAAGATGTAATAGCTCATGGGGTTTTATACTGCCCTCTTGTTCTTGCCTTGGTTTGTCAAAGAGAAGGAAGTGAAAATGTGAAAGAGGCCCCAACAAGCTGCAGGAAGAATTGCTGGTTTTAGTGCTGCCTTTTGTTTGAATGTGACCTTACCTCTAGCAGGAAACTCTTGTAATGGTTTATGGCTCTATGTCAAATGACTCCTGGGAGCCGCTTTGAAGGATATAATGACTGAAGATTGCTTGGGCCTTTTCCACTCTAGGGGCTTTGATTGCAAGCCTTATTGCCTTCAAAAATTCAAGTATGACTGTTGGGTTTGTGGGGTTGTTTTTTTTTTGGTTATGCTTTAAACATCCTGGTCTCTGAGAACAGATACTGAAGTGCACTTTGCCAGCAGTACTAAAATAAATAATGAGATCTGACGTATACCTTAAAAAAAATGTATGACAGTGTATTATTAAATCAATTCTGCATCCTGGCAGAAAATAACTGTGCTTAAGGAGACAATGAACACGCATCCAAGGTGAATAGTTCTGTGTAATAGCACTGGTGATGTACAAGTATCTGACGTTCTGCAGAGCACAAGAAACAATAGGTATGAAATGGGAGATTAGGAATCAAATGAAGCAACCTTTTAGGGAGTTTCTGATGCTACAGAAATAGCACATATCACCTACCACTTTCTGAAGTATCCAAAGATTACTGAAGTACTTTCTTTAGAATAGAAGTGTCAAAAACAATCAGTGATGGGGGTCAGTTAAATTCTACCATGTGAAATAAGTATGTGCTTAATCCTTATCTTAACTATTCACTGAAACCTTGAATTTCCTGCAGAACACCACTGTGACTTTGGGAAATGACACGGTCATAAGTAACAGCATGAAAGATAACCCCCACATGCACTACTATGCTGGCATCTATGCGCTGTCTATGGCAGTGATGTTGATTCTGAAAGCTGTTCGTGGTGTTGTTTTTGTGAAGGTGAGTGTCAGTGCTGCCTGATGCTTTTCTCATGCATCCCTACCCCTCCATCCCTGCTTTGGCACGTTGCTGTCTCTGGGATTTTGGTGACTTTGAGAGGCACTTTGGAGCCAGATGAAGTCAGATCGTGGATCATAAGATCTCTGTTGTGTCATCTCTTGGAGGTGTATCACGCTTTCCCTTAAATTTTTGCTTGAATTAATTCCTTTCACTAATTGAAAGTGCAAAGTGTGTGGGGAAAAAAGCTATACTTAAAGTTGAAGAGGGAAAATTGGCAGAATTTTTTTTTCATGCCTGGAGAGAGAGATCAGTGTCAGTGACAGACAGACATCTTTTCATAACGCTCTATCATCTGCTGCACTGCCAGGGAACTCTCAGAGCATCCTCGAGGCTCCACGATGAGCTCTTCAGGCGGATTCTGCGTAGCCCCATGAAGTTCTTCGACACTACGCCTACTGGACGGATTCTCAACAGGTTTTCCAAAGACATGGATGAAGGTATGTCAGTGGAGATTCCACCCCTGTCTCTCTTGTCACTTGCAATAGACTCAGCGGGAGTTGGGACATAGCAGGGTTGTGCTTGTAGGAGGCAGCTGATATCTCAGGTCTGTCTGTTCACTTATAAGAAAATGCATAGCTGCTTTTGCACCTGCAGTCTGCATGTGACAGTCTTAGCAGTTAATGCAGGAGAACCTGGAGCATCAGAGTGAAGTTCATGAGCAGAAAAGGTGGTAATTTGGTCAGAGCTGCATCAGTGCTATTTCTGTTAGTGGGAATAATTGGAAGAACAACTAGCATTTAAGAAGACAAAAGTGCCTCTAATGGTGACATACATTTTGCATTCAAAAAAAGCCGTGAGAAACCACTGTTCCTGTCAGTGATGATGCACACCTGGACTGAATTGCTTTATACGGGTTGTTTTAGCCTCCTGTACTCAAAATTTTTTCCCTTGTTCTTTTCCAGTGGATGTTCGTTTGCCATTTCAAGCAGAAATGTTCATCCAGAACGTTATCCTTGTGTTCTTCTGTGTGGGGGTGATTTCTGGGGTGTTCCCTTGGTTCCTGGTGGCAGTGGGTCCCCTCATCGTCCTGTTCATGGTTCTGCATGCTGTGTCTAGGTAAGTGCTTCAGCTGCTGTGACTGAAACTAGAGATACTTTGACCTGTTAGTAGGGAAACGGGGATCTTTAAATATATATGCATCAGTACAGTGGTTGTGCATGGCACTTAAAAGTGCTTCTTTCTTTCCAGAGTCTTTATTCGAGAGCTCAAGCGTCTGGATAACATCACGCAGTCTCCGTTCCTGTCTCACATTACATCCAGCATACAGGGGCTCTCCACGATCCATGCATACCACAAAGGACAGGAATTCCTGCACAGGTCAGTCTGAATACCTAGCTGAGAGTGATGGAGCAAAAAGCAGAGTGTGACAGCTTAACGTTCAGAAAGACTTTACTGGTGTTTAGCTGGTGACATACATTGGGTGTAAGTGAAAATTAATTTTTGGGGAGAAAAAATGAGGAAGGGCAAGAAGGAGAATGGGAAAGAAAAGCAGTCTGGTAGCCAACTGGGAAGAACAGTGCTGGAGTCCCAGATGAGTGCCCCCTTCTGGGCTTCTCTGCAGCAGGTGGCTATGATAATGGTGAGGGCAATTTTTTGGCATGTTAACTAATCCCCTGTGTGCCTATTGGTGAGCTGTGCACCTGTACACCTAGACAACATTTATCAAGTATTTGAGTGACTGTTATCCACTTTGTCATGGACTACGTTTGGTTTTCTCCGGTGTCAACTAAAACTGCAGAATAACTGACAGTGAGGGAAAGTGAGACCTCTCTTCTGTGAGTGGTATTTGCTTCCCATGAGAACAATGTCAGATTTTGCAGGTGCAAGGTGTTATGAGACCAGCAGCGTGGGAGCAAGAGAAAATTGTCCCAGAGGTTTTGGGAAGACAGTGCTTAGATAGCAGCTTAAATGAAATAGAGCAGGAAAGCACTCTGCTGTACAGCTGTGATTGGTGTGAAACTGAATTGCAAGATCAGATAGCAGAATGCTAGGTTTTCTGTAGCACTGCGAGCTCAGGAAGGTATACTAACATCTTATTTATGTATTTCAGGTATCAGGAGCTCCTTGATGACAATCAGGCACCATTTTACCTGTTCAGCTGTGCAATGCGCTGGCTGGCTGTACGGCTGGACATTATCAGCATTGCTCTTATCACAACCACTGGCCTTATGATTGTTCTGATGCATGGCCAGATTCCTCCAGCCTATGCTGGACTGGCTATCTCGTATGCTGTGCAAGTGAGTGTGTCTGCATGACTTACTCTCTTATTGAATGTACCTCACAGTAATAAGTGAGAGTAACAGACCAGTGAATGCTTCCTAAATATACAAGGATGGGAAAAGATGGGGGGAAGTCAACTGGGGGTCAGCATCACGGCTCAGAATGGTTACTGGTTCTGTTGTTTGCCCTTTTCTGCCTCCTGGTGGTAATAACACAACATTACAGAATCCAGATGGCTGACACTTAAGGCTGTTGCTTGTGGGAAACCTTCCTAAGCTTCTGGCTTTTGAAGCAATTCATAAATGAAGGTTATCTTGAAGTTAAATGTAAGGGGTCCAAGACAAGAGTACTTGTGGCAAGTATCCTTTAGCTTAGTCATTTAAATCAATTAAAAGATACATTTCTCTCTGTTTCCTCCCATCATCCAGTTAACAGGGTTATTCCAGTTTACAGTCAGACTTGCTTCAGAAACAGAAGCTCGCTTCACGTCAGTGGAGAGGATCGATCACTACATCAAGGTAGGGCTGCAGCACATTCAGCTGAATTTCTCGTTTGTCACGAGGGTAAGAGAAGAGGAAGCCAGCTATGGTCCACCTTAGTATGAAATGTGTACCACACAGCAGTGTGCCAGGTACTGCCTGATCCCTCTCACTGCACTGAGTAAAATGGTTTATCACTCCTGGCCTTCAGTGACAAAGCCTGTAGTCGTAGGCTACAGTTACAAGTTTTATAAGTTACCAGCTATCATTTGAGATCCCAAATAAGTTATGCTTTTTGAAATTATCTTTGTCTTGCTCATCTCTCCAGGCAGACATTTTATTATGAAACTCTGAAACTACTGTGAAGCTAAAGTGGAAGGTTGGGTGTCTTACCAAATTTGAGGCTTGGCTTCTTTCAGTGTAAGCACTGAGGTTGTTTTTTGAGCACCAAACTCAGAGCCTGTTCTTTGGTAGAAGACCGTTGTTTTTCTCAAACCCTTGAGGGTGCAATTAATCTGCCTCTGGCTTAGGTTGCTGCAGGTGTCCACAACTGACATAGTCCTCGTGGGATCTCCCTATAGGCAGTGTAAGAAAAAGGGTCTCTCCACAGGCCAGTTATTAACCATTCTGAATGTTTTTATTAAAATGCAGAGAAATCACAGTGTAGAAATATTGACTTCTTTGTAGTTACCATGAAGGAGTTGATGGGTTGTGATTCAGTGGAGATGTTTGCATTTAGGTGCTTAAAGCTGTGTGACATTTATCTCAGGGCAGGATTTCTGCCATTCTCTGAGGCAGGTTGTGCAACTATGAGAAAGTGATCTTCATTTTAAACATGTTAAATATCCTTTTGATTTGTAGAAGCTCTGCTTTTCATAAGGTGTGAACTGCTTTAAATGAGGGACTATTGCTGAGGGCTGTAACAGTGAAAGTGAGCTGGAAGGGGCCTGACTGGCTCAATGATTTAACAAAACAGGAAAGAATGAGGAATAGGAGAATAATATTTGTACAATATTTCACGTAGGTGTTTTCTTCTGTGTCAGAATCAACAGAGGAGACCCTGGCACAGCACAGCCAAAGAGACACAGAAATATAGCAGATGTCACATCTAATTTTTGGAAGACCAGAAAACTCAATAAGATTGTGGACATAAAAAATAGGCCTAAAATACGTTTTTAATTCTATTGATGAAAAACATTGTTGGGAAGAAGGTCCAATGTCATTGTTGAGGCAGCAGCAGGGAATTCTAGTGTGGCAGTGAGAGACTGAGAAGCTGCTTCTGAGAACTGGTCCTGTATCCAGCCACACTGTTCATCTGAAAGCTGCTGCACACCGATGTGGGCTGAGAATGCAGAGAGCTACTGAAAGCTGCAGCTTTCCTTTTTAGTGCTTGGTGTACTGGAAACTGAACTTTCCTTTTCTTTTTAAAGACTCTTTCCCTGGAAGCTCCTGCTCGAATTAAGAACAAAGCTCCCCCTCTGGACTGGCCGCAGGAAGGTGAAGTTGTTTTTGAAAACGCCGAGATGCGGTACCGAGAAAATCTCCCTCTGGTGCTTAAAAAAGTGTCCTTTACCATCAAACCCAAGGAAAAGATTGGCATTGTGGGAAGGACCGGCTCGGGTAAGGAGAAGCACCAGGCAGAGCTAACATACTGCAGCTCCAGGACGGTTGGTGGGTCTGGTTTCTGTGTTTGAATAAGTTAATTGCCTAAGAGTGGTCCAGTGAGCGGCCATGGGGGACTCTGTTCACACACACACGTGAGTGGGATCCCTAAACAATAAAAACAAGCTTCCTTTTAAAACAGAGGCGTATCCTACTGTGCCTGAGCCCCAGTGTGCTTATAGTGTTTAACACTCCAAGCCACTGAGCAGCGCAGGATGCTGCCTACAAATGCTCATCGTGGCTTATTTGAGTGTCATGGAAGATGTTTGTGCTGGTGCCGCAGGCGGATTTGGCTCTACCCTGTCTCAGGAGTTTGATTTACACCAGCTCCAAAATGGGATTTTTAAATATGCAGTTGTTACTGCTTACAAGTTTAAATGCTGAACCTCAGCACTTCCACCATTGTTTACTTCAGGTTATTTTAAATCACCATTCCTACTAAAAGGAGAAGTTTTGAAATGCTGTCTCGTCTCAGATGTCTGCTGTGATTCTGATACTAGTTTCTACACTGGTATGTTTTTCTGTCTCGTTTTTAGGGAAGTCTTCCCTTGGAATGGCACTCTTTCGTTTGGTTGAACTGTCTGGAGGCTGCATTAAAATTGATGGAGTGAAAATAAACGACATTGGTTTGGCAGATCTTCGCAGCAAACTCTCAATAATCCCTCAGGAACCGGTGCTGTTCAGTGGCACTGTAAGGTTAGTGCACCATAATAAGTCAGGAAGGAGAAGGCAGCTGCCAGTTCACACTGAATGAGGTGGTTGTGACTAGAACAAAGGCATCCTGGCTTCTGTTCTGTTTTTACAACAGAGCAAAAAGCACAGGTAAATGGGCTGAGGTGACTCCATGTGGAATCATCTCAGTGATCATCCTTTGTGGAACTCTTGCTTCTCCTTTAGATTTGCTTGAAATTTTTGCATCTTTGTCTTCTGTTTTTACTCTGTAATTTCTTGGCTACTTATATAGTGGGAACATCTGATTTCCTTGGCAAGGAAATTCTCTCAGAGGAAAGTTAGATGGGAATTGTCCATCTGGACAGACTAGTGCACTGCTGTTTTGCCATTCATTGCTGAAAAACAAATTCTGATTACACTTTCTGCTTCCCCCTCCAGATCAAACTTGGATCCTTTCAATCAATACAGTGAGGAGCAAATCTGGGTTGCTTTGGAGAGGACTCACATGAAGGAGTGTGTAAGTATTATGGTGTCTATGGGATATCTGTGTGTGTTTTGCTTTCCAAGCTACACATTCTACTAGTGGCTAATTCAGAGACCCTCCTGTAGAGGTATTTCTCTGCAGTTTTTTCCCTTTGCTATGCTTTATTTCTAAAGATGAGATGGAATGTTTGGAGAATGCCACCTTTCAAAAGCTACTCTTTAGTACATAGCACAGCAGAGCATTGCTCCATCACAGAGACTCTTCAGGATCTACAGAATTTCAAAAGTGATGCTTTTCTGTGTGCCTTAGGTAGATGTGCATTCTGCATTTACATTTTTAAGTGTAAATGTCACACATGCATATTCATACAGCATTTAAAATCTGTCCTTTGTGAGGCTTTCTGCAGCAAGTCTCCATGCTGTGGCACTCATGCCTTAGAGACACAAAAGGCCTGTTCAGCTCTGAGGCTTTTTTCTCTCTTCTTTCCCACGCAGGTTGCCCAGCTGCCTATGAAACTTGACTCAGAAGTAATGGAAAATGGGGAAAACTTTTCAGTTGGAGAGAGGCAGTTACTGTGCATAGCTCGAGCTCTGCTGCGTCGCTGCAAGGTGAGCTTATTGATGGGAGAAATAGCTGGTGATATCAGATTGGTGGCATTGAGAGATGGCTTTCTTTTTCATTCAGATTTATTCAAGCTGGCATAGGGGTTGCACCAGCAGATAGTGGTGTAGGGTGAAATGTGCTTGTCAAAACTACCTTTGTGACCACAACTCTGTAAAGATTGCTGTGACCAGGAGTTGCCACAGCTGGCAATTCAGCCCGTTCTGCATATTTCGATATTCAGAAAGGGACAGAGTCACTGTGAAGTAACAGCCAGGATTATGCACTGCTTTCAGATTTTGATACTGGATGAAGCAACAGCTGCTATGGACACAGAGACTGACTTGCTGATTCAGGAGACCATCAGAGAGGCATTTGCAGACTGCACGATGTTAACAATTGCTCATCGCCTGCATACTGTACTGGGTTCCGATCGGATCATGGTGCTAACACAAGGACAGGTGAGCAGAAAGACTTCTGTGGCTTCAGTTCCTGTTGCAGTCTGGTGGTGCCACGTGTATGGGCTAAACTGAAGGAACAGCTGGCATTGCTGTAGAAAATCCTGTGTGTTCCTTCACGTCCTTGGTTGTAATTCTCCAACGACGTCAGTAATTGCCTCAACATGACAAGATCAAAGATGGAAAAATCTCTTTTACATTCTAAGAAAATACCACAGGGTAACAAACTCCTTAAAGTGTTTTTGATTGTCCTTTGTAGGTTTAATTTTGGTATGGGTAATGATGTAAGCACCTCTGCTGGAGCTCAGCAGCAGTTTGCAAAGCATGCTGATACCGAACTGACATGTGACAGATAAGCACTTTTTAGGCTATAAACACTTAAAGGGAAATGTAGGAACACTTGAGAACACTCTTGAATGTAAAGAAAGTAAAAACCAGAGCATCTGCCTCAGTTTGCTTGCCAGAGCCACCAGAGGTTGCTGCCTGCTGGGTTCTCCCAGCATCTGTGTAGTGTAGTTTAAACATCCCTGGTTATAGCGTGAGAGCATGAAGGCAGAGGCTTTCACTGTCTGTTGTCTCACCTAAAGGCTGCCAAGTTTCGTCTTCCTTACTGCCGTGTGACAGGTCCAAGGGGGCGTGGGTGGGAATCCATCTTCTGCTCCTCCTGACTGCTTTACCTGCCTTGTTTGTTTTCAGGTGGTGGAATTCGACACGCCATCTGCCCTCCTGGCCAATGAGAACTCGCGCTTCTATGCTATGTTTGCTGCTGCAGAGAACAAGGTCGCTGTCAAGGGCTAAAATTCAGGGCAAAGTCACTTTAATTTGGGAGAGCTGCACTCCCTGCCTGTGGCAGGCCAGCTCTCCCTCCTCCTCCAAGCAGATTATTGCCTTTTCATCTTTTATTTTTTAGCACAGTATGTCAAGCCAGAGAGTTTTTAAACCCGTGTCAGAAGAATTCTTCATGTTTTTATTATTGTATTTATTCCATAATCATATTACTAATTTTTTGGTTATTAAATGCACTCTACGAATGGCTCAGGGAGCCATAGTTATAAATGTATCAGAGGCCTATAATGAAGCTTTATACATGTAGCTATATCTATACATAATTCTGTATATAGCCTATATTTACAGTGGAAATGTAAGCTGTTTATTTTATATTAAAATAAGCACTGTATTAATAACAGTGCATATTCTTTTCTATCATTTTTGTACAGTTTATGGTACCCGAGATCTGGCTTTGTTATCAGGCTGTATCAGACACCATTTTGTCTCCTACAGCGTCTTTTCCTAGTGCCAGATTTTCTGCGTGTCTGAGTGGAAGTGAAGCTTTGCAATAGTGTCCTTTATTGTCACATTGTTGTCTAGCACAGGGGAGAAGAGCACTGTGGTGTAACTCTATAGCATTGTAATTTATCAGAGCTGTTTGGAGCATCGCTCATGTTCACACGGCAGCGGCTGCTGCTTGCCATAACGCTTTCCCAAAGCAGGGTTTTTAGTGATCTCCTGACTGGAGAACCACTTCTGGGTCACGTTAAGGCCTCATTTTCTCAGTGTCTCGATGCAGTATTTCTGACTGTGTCAGCAGGGTTTATGCTCTTTCTGCTTCGCTGATCTAACACAACCAGAATGTAACTGTTTATGGAATGATGTGTAACAAATTAATCGTAAGGTTCAAACCATCACCCTGTATGCTGGCAGGAAAGCCTTTTCCAAGTTGCTCCGACTGACTGACTCCTTTATCTTGAAGCTGCTAACACCCCTCAGAGGTTTAGGTTGGCTTTCACTGGCATGAGTAACACTAACTCTTTGTTCCGCTCACGTATACTAAGGTCAAACAACATCAATGTTTCCTGTTTCTTTATTGCACACTTGTTAAGGAAACAGTCCCCCACTCCACGTCTCCGGGAACTTCCGACGGGTTCCTGCTGATCAGGATGTAACACTGGTGTAGGATGTTGTTTTCTTACTGTGAAGAGACCTACCTCAGGTTACTAGGTCCTGTGTAGTGCGTTGCCATGATCACTGTACGCCATCCCTGTCCGACGGACCTGCGGCCCGCGGGGCACGGTGGCTCCTATAATAGCCGTGACTTATGGAATGGTCAGCGTTGCATGTCTCTGTCAACTTGGGCATTTTGTAGCCTTAGCATGTTTGCAGAATGTCTCGCCGAGGCAAAAATCTGAAAAGTAAATAAAACTATTTTGGGTTTTGTAAATTTTATTGGCTTCAGCGGTTTGTTTTGAGCATGTGAATCACTTCTCACCTTTCTGAGCCCTGTGTCAGTTGTTGCAGCCTGGCTTTCTTCTCCTCTCTGCACCACGGCCTCATTTTTTTTCCTTCAGAGTGGGGTTTTTTTCTTCAAGCAAATGCAGTGGGTAACTTGTGCCCTCCACTGTGGAGGAGGCTGGCAGTGCATGTCTGTGCTGAGCAGGACAGAGAGTAACGATTTATAATGCTAGTGCTCAAGTCATAGCGATGGGGAGGCCAGGTGGAATACAGAAATTCTTATAGGCTGGGATATTTTCATGTTCTTTACCTATGTGTGTTACTGTTTATAAAGTAACACAACTGCAGGGTCACAGCAGTGAGCATTCCCACCACTACGGCAGGTAAACCATTCCATTCACAGCGCTTAGACTGTGAGCTGAAGGCAGCAGCACATAAAGCATCATTGGTTGAAGTCTGAATACTTTTTAAGGGAGAGAGAGAACATGAAGTGGCCTAAGGCTGCCACTGACCTTGTCCTCCTTCTTCTTCCAGGCTGGGAGTTCCTTCAGCTTTCCCGATGCCAGCCCTGGCTCTTGCCAGCAGTGACCCAGAAAGCTAACTTGCAGAAAGTCCACCCTCCAAAATCAGAATGCTGTACAAAGGAGACAGGAAGGCACACCTGAGGGGAGGCAAAGTGAGACTGCTCTTTTCAGTAGGTGCTAACACTAGCATAGCTGTGAGAGGGAGCTGCGCTCAGGATTCATTACACCAGTCGTGCTCTTCTGAATTGGTGAACGTGGTCCAAGAGCAACAGATGCACAATTTGAGTGGAACTACCTAAGATAGCTTTCAGGTTTGCTGTATGGACCTTGGGAATTTCATCCATTCTGGGCACCGAGCGCAACAGGTCCTGATTGTCCTAAGGTTGGAAATTCTGAGGACGTGTTCCTGCTTGTCTGCTCTTGTCTGGTTGGTGCAGCATCACCGCTCGCTTGGGACGTCAAACAAAATGGAGGCTGGAGGCTTCTAAAACCACCCAGCGGCATTGCTGTGCAGTGCGATGGGCATAATGACATCTGAGGTCGGGCCCTGAAGCTGTGCCAGTCTGAGTGCCTGTGGCGACATCGCTGGTACCTCTGGTGAAGATTGATTGATATGTGGACAGATGCAGAGCGCTGGGGCGGTGCTCAGCTGCTCAGCCCTCGAGGAAACCCTTGAGAGGGAGAGTGGGCAGCCTGAGAACAGTGCTAGAAACATAAACTGAGAAAGGACATTTATTTCTAGAGGTGAATGGGATGACTGAGACACGGGGAAAGGTATTGGGAGGAAAGGATGGGTGCAGTAAATGAGGCTTACAAGAAGAACGTGTAGAGAAAAATGAGGGGAGGACAAAAAGTTCCTCTGAGTTAGAATGGAGTGAGGACAGAATTGCTTCCTGAAGATGCGTCCAAAGAATATGATGAGAAGATGCCGGGCAGCTGCAGTACCCGTGCCAGGCAAGCCTTTCTTGAACGTTGTTTTTGTGCTGGGGCCGCATGGCGTTTGCCTATGAGCAGTCACCCAGGTGCTGCGGGCGGCCGCAGCGTCAGGCCGGGCCGGGCTCACTCTGCGGTGCGGGCCGTTCGGCGCTGCCTGCAGCTGAGCCTGCCGTGCCGCGCCGTGCCGCCCGGGCGCGTCGGTGCGATGGGAAACGATGCGACTCCGCTATCAGCGGTGTGAGGTTTGGGGGCCCTTGGGAACGTACGCTGTGGATTCGTCAAACCCACAGCCACATCGTAAACATTCCCGCGTCACTTAGGAGCTGCCTTGGCGACCCAACGACTGGCACAGCGGCTGTGCCGGGGCTCGGAACGTCTGCGCGCGCAGGCGGCGGGCGGCGCGGAGCGGGGCGGGGCAGCCCAGCCCAACCCACGCAGCCCCTTCCCCCCCCGGCCTGTTCCGGGCCGGGCCCCGCGCTCCCTTCGGCCCCTTCTCCTCCCCGCCCCGGCCGCTCCGGCCGCCGGGGCCTCCCTCCTCCCCGCCCGCCCATGGATTTCACATAGCGGCCGCCTCCTCTCCTCCTCCGCCGCTCCATGGCGGCTCCGGCCCCGCGGCCGCCCGGCCTGTGCTGCTGCCGCAAGGGCTCCGCGGGCGGCCCGGAGGCTCCGCCGGTCCCTCCGCCTCCTCCTCCCGATCCACCGCCGCCTCCGGACGTGGCGTCGGCCTCCAGCTCGCAGCTCTTCGCCCTCCGCCACCTGCACCTGGGGCTGGAGCTGCGGCCCGAGGCGCGGGCGCTGGCGGGCTGCCTGGTGCTGGAACTGTGCGCGCTGCGCCCGCAGCCCTGCGCTTTGGTGCTGGACGTGCACCCGGCTCTGCGCGTCCTCTCGGCCGCCTACCGCCGCGCCCCGCCGGGGGAAGCCCCCTGCTCCTTCGCCTTCTCCCCCGCCGAAGCCGCCGCCTCCTCCTCCTCCTCTTCCTCCTCCTCTGCCGCCCCGGACCCGCCGCCCCCTCCGCCCCCGCCGCCGCCCTGCGCTCCTCCGCCGCCGCCGTGCTCCGCCGCCGCCGCGCCCTCCACCGCCACCTTCCTCTCGGCTCCCTGCATCGCCGCGCCTCCCGCGGAGCCGCCCGCCGGGCCCCCGCCGCTGGCGGAGCCGCCGCTGCCGCTGTTCGCCCGGCCGCCCGCCGCCTCCTGCCCGCTGGGCTTCCGCGTGGACCCCTTCACCGACTACGGCTCGGCCCTGACGCTGTCGCTGCCCGCCGCCCTGCAGCCGCACCAGCCCTTCCAGGTCATCGTCCGCTACACCACGGCCGACGGCCCCGCCGTGAGTACGGGGATCCCCCGCGGGGAGGCGGGGAGGCAGCGCTCCGGTCGGGGCAAAAGGAGTGGTTTGGGGGAGCCCCGCAGCCTGGGGCAGACGGGCTCAGGTTGCGCCGGGGCGGGTTCGGCTTGGATGTCAGCAACAGTTTCTTCTGCGTAAGAGCGGTGCTGCATTGGCAGGGGCTGCCCAGGGGCGCGGAGGGGAGGGGGTCGCTGTCTCTGTTGTAGAGAGGTGGAGATGTGGCACTGAGGGCCAGGGTCAGTGGGGAAGGGTCGGTGGTCTTTGAAACCCTGAAAGTTTCATGAAGGAACCGGTGTATTTTTTCTGCCGGGCGCTTTATTTATGGCAGGAAGGCTTTGAAGCTCATTGGCTGTTGCCGTGCTCTGTAATCGCTCTCAGCCTGGCCGAGCCGCAGCTCCCCTCAGTGCGCGATAACGCGCTTTGCTCCTCTTGAACGAGTGGCTTTATTTTGGGCTCCTGCAGGGATTCCCCGGCGCTGATGCCAGGCGGCGGCCTGCCCTGCTGTGTGCAGAGGGAGTCCTGCCACTGCCTCACCATCCGTCCTATGCACGTGTGTGTGAGGATGCTGGGAGCTGAGCCCTTTTTCCATTCCTACAGTTCACCTCGCTGCTCTTTGATCCACTGCGAGCCGATCTTCGTTCTTTCCTGCATCTTTACTGTAGCTTTCATAGCACGTAGTGCTTGGCTGAAACGAAGCTCCGAGGCCTGCTGGTGGAATTGTTGCTGGTTATGGAGCAGGGCCACACGCTGCCCTTTCTGAGTGGTGCTGGGAAGCAGGAGCAGGCACGCTCCAACATAGGACTGCATCTCACAGCCTGCCCAGGACTGCAGGTTTTGGCTGGCAGAATACTTGTCCCCAGGCAGCACCTGCTCCAGCCCTTCATGCTGCTCGGGGCTCGCTGGGCTATCTTTTGAGCTCCAGGGTCATGCGCTGCTATTGTCATGCTGCCTGCCAGCGCCCTTCCAGCCTGGCACTGTGTTAACAGCGATGAGTAACCCCGAATGTGGGACGGTGACCTCATGCACACGCCTGACCTCCGCGTTTCTGTGCGGTCCCTTTTCTCTCTGTGGGTGAAGCAACTTCGCGGCGTCACGCCTCTCTTACAAAACTTCTGTTCCTCGTTCCTATGGAGTGAGGAGCTGATGGTTTTGGTTGTGTGATGGATCCCGGGAGACAGAGGGGAGCTTAAACCTGCCTTCTGCAGAGGGTTTGGGCTGCCCGCGTGCAGGGAACCATGCGTTCATGCATGGCATCCTCTGTTCAGGAGCGAGGCTTTGCTGAGCGTTGTGCATCCCATGGTGCAGGTGTGAAGGGAAAGCAGCAGCTGCTCCTCATGCTGACCTCTTGGCCCTGCAGAGGCTCTTTCACAGTATTTTTGCTCTCCTGTCCCGGAGGGAAAAATGCACACCCGTTTCTGACCCGCTTTGCTGCACCTCCAATTTGGCAGCGCTCATCTCCACGCAGTGCTGTTTTCTTTCCATGACAACCTTCAGTGCAAACCCTGCTCTGTCCTGCTGTAAAAGTGAGAGAACTTCCTTGTCCCTATGATTTAGCAAAAAGGTCAGAGCTGGGAACTTCCCTGGCAATCCATTTGAGTTTTCCCAGTCCCTCGTGACTTGCAGTCGGGCTCCTTGCCCCATCACATCCCCCATGTCCCGCCTGCACAGCACACTCTGTGGGCAGTCACTGCTAGCCACTGGAACCGCCACTGTGGCACCGCTGCTCTCCTCCATCAATAATGCAGGTGGAGACATGGAAAGACTTTAAACTTGGAAGAGGTTCAGCTGTTTACTTTTGTCACTTGCCAGATTGCGATGCTGTCACACGTGTTTCCTCAGCGGAGCACGGCTGGGATCTGGTGATGCACCCATGTGCTGCTCTGCCCCATAGTGGCCCAGCTCCCTGCCCCCACAGGCTGCTGACTGCACTCCTTTCTGGGCTGCAGCCTCTGCTCCTCATCCCCAGCCCTGTCCAGCAGCATGGCCGCTCTATTTATATTGCAGATCTATTTATATTGTTTCAGGATAACTTTAATCATTGTTCCAAGTGCATCTGGAAAGAGAGGCGGAGGATTGCAGCATAGCTGCAGACATTGGGAAACAGGGGAAAAAAATACTTCACTCTCTGCAGACTTTTTCCTTTTGGCCTGTGAGGCTTCTGCTTCACTTAACCTCAACCAAATGTCAC